GCATTTCGCGCACTCGACACGCACGATCTCCGCAGAGGGTTGCGCGCACATGGGACAAATCGCACTCTCGCCTGCATTTCGCACACTCGACACGCACGATCTCCGCAGAGGGTTGCGCGTCAAGTCTCCAAAACGAGCGTTTCGTACGAGACTTCCTCAAAAACTCACACGTCAAAGTCTGCAAAACGAGCGTTTCGTACGAGACTTCCTCCAAAAGTCAAGCGGAAACACCCATCGGAGCACACACATCACGCAGCCCTGCCAAGCAGTTTCGCGATTCCAGCCCCTCCAAACAACATCCGCTCACACGCCAATCCCAATGGGACAGCGACATTCACCTCTACCACAACTCACAACCTCACGATTCCCTGCGCCTGCCACGAATCTTTCCCCATCCACACGTCTAACGCGCACAAAGTACTGCGCCTGCCACGAAATGTCACCTCCCTCACACCTCGCAAACTCACGATTCCCTGCGCCTGCCACGAGAATCGCACTTCCACGCTTCAAAGCCCGCACGGAGTCCTGCGCCTGCCACGAAAAGTGACAATATCATCGCATGTGAGCTTCAACGAAATTTGCACCACACCACACGTTTGGAATGATTTCGACCCGTTCAGAGTTCAGAGCACACCAAAATCGCCATTTCAGCTGAGACTTGTCACGAAAACAGAGCTTCGATGCCACACCCTGAAACGCAAATCCCAATGGCACGGCCACATCCAACACCCCAAAAACACGACTCTCCAAACGCTAATCCCAATGGAACTGCGCAGCAATCTGCCGATCTCACAAAACGCTGCGCCTGTGCAGCGAAACGCATCACGTTTCTCGCGCGACATGTCCTGGTCCAGCAAATCACAATGGAATAGCGGAGCAAACTGACACGTGACACGTCCATGCAAAGTCACTTGCAAAAGCTTCCCCCAATGGCAGCAAATTTGAAACGCGACGACGACGACACGACGACGACAGACGACGACAGACGACGACAAACGACGAGAGACGACGAGAGACGACGACACGACGCAGGCCATGCAAACACATAATGTCCAACCCCCACACCCCCAACTATAAACGGGAACCCTTCGCTACGCATTCGGGAATAAGAAAACAAAAACACACTCAAAAAATAAACAAATAGGAAACACAAATCCACACTCAGGAGAACAGGTCTACTCAGGACAGGACCGACTCAAAAACAAGAACAAGACTCAAATAAGAGAAACAGTATGGACGGGAAAAATCGAGTAAGGAGTCAAGTAAAAAAATAACAACCAACAGTTGTTTAGTCTGGTGTTTGTTTCAAGTGCTTGAGTTCCAGTTTGAGTTTGGTGTGAGTCACCCGCTGCTTTTTGGGGAGCTAGGCTACGGCTAGGCTGCGGCTAGGGTGGGCTGGAACCTGCGGTTTCCCTCAGAAAAAAAACAACAACAAATCCAGACTCAAAAAAACAGACTGACTCAAATCCAGACTGACTCAACCCAGACTCAAATCCAGACTCAAATCCTCTGTTGCTGAGTCCGGATTTGTTTTCTTTCCTCTGTTCAACCTTCTGCTACTTGAGTCTTCAAGTGAGTGTGTTTTTGTGTGTTTGGTTTCGAGTTCAGGTTTTGGGCTGAGTCTAGGTTTGTTTTTGTGATTGTTTTTATTTTGAGTATTTTTGGTGTCTTTATTTTTCATCGCGAACCTCTTCCGTGTATGTGTTAGGATTCATAACAATGGAGTATTTGAGTATTGCCTTGAAATGGAGCATTGGAGCATTTGACCAGTGCTCACCCCATCGGCTCATTTCGGCTCCAAGCGTCCAGCCAATTGTAAAACGCAATCAGCGAGCGTCGTGGGCAAAAGAACCTCCATCGGTCCGGATGCCCCGCGGCTCCGCGGGTCCCGCTCCGTGATCGGACGTGGTGGTCGAACGCGGCGAGAAGAAAGCGAGAGAAGGAATATGCCAGGCATTGACTCATTGATGTGTAATGAGTAGATATGTAATGTTAAAATATTTAATATATCATATGATATACTAGTAGTAATATGCACATATGATGCAAAAAATGGTGCCACAGCTATTCCACAGCTGGGATTCAGGAGGGAAGCACCAATCATTGACACGCCATTGATTATCCCGACTCATGCTGAGAGGTGTGGATGTTTGAGAAAAGGTTTTATGCGGGATAGCTGGATAGGATAGCAAAAATGCATGGTACCAGCGACAGGTGGGTGTGACGTGAGCGATTCTCAACTACTACTATTGCTACGAGCGAAAAGGCACAAACGGTCACAAAGCCCTTTGGATGAGGCCTTTGGCAATCCCCCATGTGACCAAATTCTACCATCCATATCAATCCAGCCGTCATCACTGTCCAAATCCATCACCCAACGCTTTTGCACCTAAGATGGAATCCGGTCGAATCCAGAAAGTTACTCCGTTACTCCCCTGCAAATATTGCAAATTAACATGGAGCCTCAAAACCACTGGTTGATATAGGAAGACAATCTTGTCAGGGGGCCATTGTCAAGGTCCATGGTAGTTTTCGGGAGTGTACCCTGGTCTCGGCAGGTGTGTGCCCCATCCCATCTATCCGCTGATCTGACTGCGGTCCAAGTCACCGACAGCCAGAGTTCCGGATGCGCACGAGGATCTCAAAGCAAAAAATGGAGAGCATGAAGTTATCCAACAGCCTGGGCAGGAAAAGGTGGGCTCAGGTGGCTTCTGATAGAATCTCGGAATTCTGCCATCAGGTGGCCTTTCTTGATTGATTTCATTGATGTCAAGGTATATATATATATCGTATATATGTTGTATCCAAATGATTCGAGACCTATGAAGCTGATGACCATCAGCTTCGACCATGGGTGTCAGGTGATCCGTCCTGAAACGCACCCCAAAGACCGATGGCCGATGGCCTCCAACCTATAATGGCCAAAAGGAAGCCAATAGCGAGCTATATCATTAGAACTAAGAACAGTCAATCACAACTGGTCTTCGCCATGTGTCGTCAGGATCTCCAGATCGCCGTGGTTCATCTGCGCTCCGATGAGCACCGCATTGCACAGGATCACCTAGCGCTCCGAAACTGTAGTGGCTGAAGCTGCGGCAAAGGGACAGTGGGAAAGATTGAAACTCCAAGCCTAGCACCCAGCGGACACCAACCAAACTGACAATAATTAAGAAAGAAAACAGCTTCAGCATAGTTCAACTCTTCAAGCCAATGGTTTAGTGTGCGAGATTGTCACAGATTCGATATGATTGAGTATTGCCTTCAAAATGACATCACTGATACCCCGTCACCAACACATCAGCAACAAAACTCGCCACATTCTACTTGCTGACCCAACTACCTACTTCGTTCGCGTAACTGGTCGCCTTCTTCCGAGTGCTGGTTCGAGGTGTCGATGTGTCTGGTTAGACGGGTAAGACACTCAAACAAACCCACGCAACAAGCTGAGAAAATGTTGAGAGCACACCAAAAAGCAGTTCAACATGGGTGTTAGGTGTTTCTACTCGTCTTTTAGCCAAAACCACACGGGAAGGATGTTTAACAAGGGTGTTCAACGCAAAGCTTGACACACAAAGAATATCATTAGTACTGCGTGGAGCTACATGGAATCGGAACGAACAAATTGCACCTTTGGAAGACTTTTTTCCTCTGCAAACAGGGGGGTGTTCCACTTCCATGTTAGCTCCAGGGAGTCAGGGAGGGTCACTGATTAATTCAACTCTGGACATCCGTTGATCCGCCGCCATCACTAGATCCCAAATGAGTCAATAAGCCGACCATGCCTGAACAAAAGAACCGCCAAATCTCCTGCTTCGCTGGCGTCCTAGAAAAACAAGACTCAATATCCATCCTGCTTCCCAAACAAGCGCCACTCGCATGTTCAAAAACGAGTGGCTCCCATGATGAAAAACTGGAAAGGGCTCTCTTCAGCCCAGGTGGTGTCTTTCAACAAGCGCACCAGCTTCACCACCTCGAAGGACGGTTCACATACAGTATCATATTGAATAATCTTATAGATCCTATAACGTATTGACTCTACCGGACGGGATCTGCCAAACATGCAACATGATATATTAAAATATCATGTGAAATCATAATGAGTTGATTCACAACAGCAACAACAACAAAACAACAGTATCGTTGATGTTTTGCAAACAATGCTTCGAGTTCCGAACACGGCGTGTCCCCGTGTCAAATCCGGGTATGCCAACCATAACTCAGTGCAGTGCATAGTGACAAATAAATATCCTGTTCACCTCTCTCGTCCTTCGAAGAGGTTCCCGGTCTTTCCCAGGCCAATTTAGTGCCACCCCGTGATTCCAAGGACTTCTGAAGCACTCCGTGTCTAACTAGCAAACAGTGACAACCGCAATAAGTGCGTTGGGACGCCGCACAGGTGGCGCAAGAAGAACTGGGGCCTCCGCCATGAACTTTCACCCCAAAGACATCAAAACGCTTGGGAGCTGGAAGAGTCCCCGACGGTCCTGGAATCAATGTATATTTGCGTATACCGTATAACTGCAACCTAACTTCTGTCTGCCGCTTCGGACCCAAGCTATTATATTGCTGGTGGCCAATCAATAGCTAACTGCTGGTTATTTCGCCAATAGTGTGAAAGTGACCAGCTTTCTCCAGGCCCCACCTCTTAGGGGAAGAAATGGGAAGAAGTTCGGTTCCGAAGCTCCATCCGACCCCCCCTGCCATCCAGCTCGCCCAATGCGATAGGCTTCGGCCGGGCGGCACGGACCACGCGGAAGGCTTGGAGGATGGAAGCCCAAACACCCATGCGAGTCTTCAACTCCAGCAGGCCTCACGCGCAACGCATGTTTCGGAGTCCGCAGAGGGAAAGGAACTAGTAGCGTCCGATCGCTCCTAGTGTATAGTAAGGCCAGGAGCCCCGTTCGTAGCGTCCTTGCTGATGTTGGATGATCATTGCGTGCAGTATTGACTGCACCCGGCCTAGAAGAAGCTCCCCACTGCCGGCGACCACGATGAACAAATCGATCCAATAAGGCCAAACCTCAGGGTCTGCAGAGCATGCCGGGGTGAAGCTCCAAGTCTTGCGATAGGGGATCTCAGGCAGCTGAACATGCCCCGACCAAGACATCACTAAAACCCGGTGAAACATGCCTCGTAGCTCGATAGCATGCCAAAAATATCAACAAATGCAAAACGGTCCCCTATCCTCTGGAGCGTGCAATCCCCCTCCTACCGCCTCTTGTAGCAGGAGCTCATGACTGTCAGCAATCATCCAGCATCTGTTGAGGAAACCATCTCTACAATTCTACAGCTCTCTCATAGGGACGTCTCCTGAGCTGGAAGGCCTCTACCATCCTCTACCCACTCGCTTTTTGCCGTCAGGGACGTGCTCAAAAGCGCCACAAAGCAAGGCCTGGGGCGGGTGGCGTCATGTCCATCAGCCCTTCGGTCGTGTCTCAGTTTCTCTCTACAAAGTGGGCTTCTTTTGCATTATGAAGTTGCCCTGATCTGTTCAGCATAGCCAAAAAACGCGTAACATCACCACTGCAAGGAGAGAATTCCTTCTAACTTGCAGTTGAACCGATCTTATTCAAAAAAAGCACATGCTGGTGAATATCAAATCGCCTTTAGTCATGATCATCTTTGAAACAGCCTGGACGGTTGCCAGCCATGGAAACTTCAGGAGATGTGGCCACTAGTGCAGGGTGATGTTTGCAAAAAAATTGCCCAATGTTTACTTCGTGTGTGTTTTCACATCATCTTGGACCCATGAGCTTCCCTGGGCTTCCAGCCACCGCTACCTTCACAAGGCTGGCAACGGTCAAATGCACGTGCCCCCCTCAAAAGACGCTCTTTCCCCGTCCCGTCATATCCCTTCTGTTGATCAAGCCCACTCGACCGCGCAAGCCGTTTTTGCTCGGCCCAAGCGGAACCCGAGCACTGTCCGGGCTCCCGCACTTCCTTGTGCAAGAGCAGCCGGGCGATAAACTCGCAAAGATAGAAGCCCAGGATCCCAACATCCTGGGCAGGATGTTCCGCAATCGGCTCCACTCACTGCTGAGAACCCAGAGTGAACAGGGGATCCGCCGAGCTTCTCTCCTGGGTGCTGTTCTCGAGGTGTTGGGGATCCTAGAAACAGTGCTATAGCATGGAAGATAGGGTTACGGTGGTTAGGGAATATACATGAATATACTCTCTGAAACCGCCGTTCTCCTAACCAACTACTGAAAATCAAAAATTGTATATAACCATGAGTTCCTGAACCGTTCATTCAAGAATCCAAAATGCATATCACCCCTGAGACGATCTACGCCGCACAAATCGATGCTCTAAGGTTTCTAGCTCACCATCCAAACCCTCATGTTTTTTGGTATAAGGATCTGATCGGCCGCCAGGTGGAAAATTCCCAGAGCTTTTAAACCATTGAACATCCACCTTGGGTCTATCCTATTACCAGTAACAGTGGATGCTGATGGTTAGTAAAGGCCTTTCTCTAAAGTAGTGACATGTTCTTTTAAATAACTGTTCATTGACTGTTACAGGTACTGGACAAACATGGACAGACCCAACATCCACCAATTCAAACGCCTCCAATCTCCCAGTTTTTATGCTTACAGTATCTTGCAGTACTGCAGATGACGAATGCAACACAAAGGTTGGCCTGCAATCAATCAAGCTACATCTCCAAGTTACCTGGAGTGGAAAGCAACGTGAACGGTCTGACCTGACTTGACACCCATCTGACGCCAAGTTCGACGCCAAGTGTCCCACCAAAAGAAGTCTCGATCTTTGTCGCCATTGGACAACAACCTGGACGGCCAGTGTCCGCTTCCTCTCACACGGCCAACTCGGCGAATAGGGACGGGACAACCGTCGTCCCACGGACAGAGCACCGTCTCCCATCATCGCCGATAGAGACGGACCGATAGATGGGGGACCAATAAGGGGCCGGCCCCCTTTCGCCGCAGCGGGGGTAGTGGTCACCACTTATGACTACAAGGCGGTCGAGTGACTCCATGGCCACCATCAAGAGGTTCAACAAGATCACCAGTGCCACCACGCCATCAAACCAGGGCTTCTCCACAAACTGAAGGAACTCACAGCCTGGACTTGCTGTCGGAACTGGACACTGTCGCATGCTCTCTCGGCCAGGGGAGGTACCAGGCAGGGGAGGTCTGGAACATCTCTGGAACACCTCACAAGGTGTGATTTTGAGGTTGAGGCGCCACCAAAAATGAATGGACCAGGGGGAGCCAACTTCATCGGTGATTCTGTCTTGTGCCGCGCCTGGCAATCCACTTCTGATACTGATTCATGTGTCCAAAATAGTTTACTGTATCTTTCTGGGGCCGAGTTCTAGCCCCCGCACACATCACAGTTGTAGGTATCACTGAGGTGTCAACAAAAGAACTCGAACAATTGGTCAATGGGGCATTCGGATCTTACGGCTTCAACACATCACAACGGCCTGGCCAGTGAGTGCCAAACGACCTCTGCTCCATGAAACGGTGCAAGTACCTAGGACCTAGACTGCCTGGCAGCCCAATACATTACCCTTGCCTCTTCATGCCTGAGAAAAGGGAAGGTGATGCGTACTCCTAACGTGACCACTACCAAGACTATAGTTATGACACCACCTACAAGCAAATCACTCTCTTTTCCAACTTCTCAGTGCATCACTTGGGAGACCTTTCGCCAGACAAACGAAACAACGCTGAAAGGCTCGCTGGTGCAACTTCTCTCTTTGACTCCCCCTCCGAGGGCCAAGCGCTTGTTGTTCCGAAACTTCTGGGAGTTCTTGTAGAGCCCCACTCTTCTCTCCAGCATGGCCACCTCGACCAAGGTGGGGTTGGAGGGGTCCGGCCGGCCGGGTCGGGTGTGATTCGATCGAAACGCCGACCGAGGCCTCGGGTGGGATGGTTTGAGGATGTGTGAGGGGTCGGTGACGGTCAAAGGCTCGATCTAGCTAAATGTTTTCGTGAGGCATTCGGTAGATCAACCTGTCGGTTCTCCTGGATGACCGGGATTCCTCTGCCCTCAAGTAGACATGTCACTAAATGTCATTCTGCCGGGCCGAAGGGCGTGTGACAAAGTGACTACAGGAACTGTTGTTCTGTATTCTCCACGATGCAGCAGCTGTCGCCTTGTCATCCTCCCTGGCAATCTTCTTGGTTACTTCGAGCTTCCTCATGTCATAGAACCTGGGACCACGGCATCACACTAGCACACCCAAAGCACCCAAGGACTCTCAAATCAAACAAGTGGATACTGAGCAGAATTGAAGATACTTGCAGCATGGGACCATAATTTGAAACTCCAAATGACATCTGAGTTCTAAACTCATTTTTGACCAGAAACTGTTTCACCCACACTCACACATTGTCCTAGTTTCAGCGTTTTCACACAGGCCAAGAAGTCAAATTAGTTGAAGGGGCTCTGGCTATTTCATGGTACGAGCAAACATCTTGTGGCAGCTTCAAGACAATCTCCCCACCAGTGCTTGATTTTTTGGCGGGGTGTCCAAAGGCTTTGCCCTACAGCAACGAGAGTCTTATATATATATATATAGAGAGAGAGAGAGAGCACTGGTTGCAAACTCTAGGAATCTCTAGATTAGATCGCTCATTCTGTTTACACTTCACATATCTTGTAATATCTTGTAGCTGGCATCAGGGCGGATTCCCTTTCCGTGTGCGTCCTCCCAATCTTCCATGATCCGTCCGTCTTTTGGATCTTCGCCACAGTGCCCCGCAGTTGACCTAGCAGTGAAGGATTAAAGCCTTCGCCCAGCCACTCCTCCACCTCTTGCAAGCGACGCTCCTTCTCCTGAGGGTTCCATCTCAAATCATCTCAAGTGAAGTTTGGAAGCAAATCAAGGCCCTAAAGTGTGAGGGTTCGATTCAATTCCAAGTATAAGCACCCTTCCAATTGATCCACCTTGCTGCGGAACCAAAGACTTCCCACCCGTGGAGCGGAAAAAGAAAGGACCTTCCTTCCGAGTGGACACCTTCCCTGCCTCCAGTTGTGCCTTGATCTCAGTGATCCGCTGGTGCACATCTCGCGTCGAAGCTCTCACCGGGCTGTGGTGATGAACTTGGCAGTCGGCTGTGGCATGGAATTTGATGGAATTCGATCGACCATGCAGGGGGGTTGCCTATGACACTGGGAATGGGTCTCCAAACCTCAGCTACAAGCAGGTTCAGAACCGATGTTTTTGTGGATTCTGATCCATCATCCAAACATCCAAGATTCCAAGCGTTCGTCTGCTTTCACAACTCCAAAATGCTCCAAGTCTTCAGCAAGTTGCAATCTGAAGGGGTCCAGTGCCGGACAGGCAGCCGACAGGAATGGTACAAATGGACTATCACATCCCAACGTTGGGAGCCGCTGGGAGCACTTGTAATCCTGGCCCTTCGCCATGACAGCAATCAAGGCGCTTCGACCATGTTCATGTTGCAACCCCCACCCCAAAGTCTTCTGCATAGCCTGGCTTCGCGCTGCGAGTGTCTCTGGCGAACTGTGAGTAATAAGGATGATTGATGGTCTGACAAACTGCGGTATTTAGAGTGTTTATATACTATGCATATGAGCACATGATCCAACATGATATATCAATCATTCATATATATATATATTATTATCCAAACATCCCTCATGATCAGCGTTTGAAGCAAAGAGTGCTCCGCCGGGATCCCAGCGGTGAGCGGTTTTCGCGACAGCGCCACATGGTGGAGCTGATCGATGATCTCAAACGATCGGACGTGGAGAAACCATGAGAAACCCATGTCCGGAATGTGATTCTGATGCCAGTGTCACAACCCCTGACCTCAAAAATTTCAACATCGGATTCTCAACCCGTCTGCCAGTGTCACAACCAACCCCACGAGTTCTTTCTTGGGAAGGGGACCAGCTGCGTCCACATCTTCACGTGGTTCCACCTGGAGCTTCCAAAGGTGCACCCTTTTTCCCGGCACAGGAAGCAACCCGCACCAGCCGGGGCGGCCTTCATTTCCTTGTTGAAGGTTGGGAGCATCTGTGCCATTGGTGCAAAGAGGAGTCTTTGACTTTGTACACATTTGCAAATTGCAGAATGAATTCTGCTAATGGGCGTGACAGGTCTGACAGGGTGGCGGTCTCGGATCACGAATGGCGCTTCCCAGAACCACGCGATGAGGCCAAGCTGCTCACGTCATGTTCATGTTTCACTTGATGTCACCAACAGAGGCTCGATGGATCTTCTGAAAAGGGGACCTGGTTACTTGACCCAAACGGCTCCGTGGAGGCATACTAGATCCAAGAAATTCAGCTGTTTCTGGGGCAACCCGCGGGGCAACCCACGAGTTGCTGCATCCAAACCATGTCACAGTCTTCAGGCTTGAGCTACAGTTTTCAAGCTGTGCATCTTGAGCATGATTTGCTCAGGGCACCGTCACCGTGTCTGACTTTTACGGTTTTAAGCATGATCTAGTCTAGTTAGGTGTGTGTGTGTGTTGACATATGCAAAAATTATCAAAACAAATTGGATGCTTTTGTCTACGTTTCCTGTTCGGGTGCCCCTGAAGGGTTCACCCTACTAAATCACACACAAAAAGTCTAAACATCAGATCATCACCGTCACATACAGATTGTCTGGTCTCCGTTGAGCCTTTGAGGTCCCAACTGGAAGGGTGGAACCTTTACAATACCTTTATATTGGATTGACCTAGCACAAACCGTCAGTCAAAAACCACTGACTTCACACGGTAACTATAAGTGCATGTAGATCTTCACCAGCATCAACATACACTACGCTCTAAAATGTTCAGCGCACCGGAGACGGCCTCAGGCGACAGAAACGGCCTGAGGCCGAAGACTGGGCAGTCTGATGCAGTCTCGAATGCGGGATGACGCTCACAGCACTTCTGGGGTTGGGCCACAACTTCTGACTGAGCTAGTCTGACTGGTAGGCTCTGGATTCATAGCCCGCCCATGTGAAGAGGGTGTTCAATTCAATTGAGATGGTTTAGCAATCAGGAGTCTACAGTACGAGCAAACAACATCAATGGCACCCAGCGCCGGTGCTCGGTGTCGTCCGACCCGCCACGATCGCCTTCGACTGTTCGATGCCCTCGGAGGCCAAGCGTTGATTGCGCTCCACCTGGCCATCTTCGGGGCATCCAAAACCGAACGTGGCTGGCATGTACATTCTACATGAGAATGACGCGATGAAACATGTCACACGAACTTCGATGAACTACATGAACTTCCCAGGCGTTGTTGCTTTGGTACTGACGAAGGCCGCTTTGCTTCTGAAGCTTGCAAAAATTGCTTTGGGAGGAGAGCGGTGCTTGGGAGAACACGCACTCCAGCCGCTGCCCCAGTATGGAACATATGGAATTTTCTCGGACAACAACCGAACAAGTTACACTACACAAGAGACAACATCTTTATAGTCCTTATAGTCTCATAGTTTGCCTCATGCTGGTGCGTCGTGAAAAATGACCTAAGGGACAAGTCTCATCCTCTTTCCATGATACCAGTCCAACAAACTTGGGGGATTGCCAGTCACTGCAAGGGAGATCCCCGGATTCTTAGCAGTTCTCGGAGAGAAAAAAACGTGACAAAGAACATAAGAAAGAAGATAGGAACTAACATGATAGCAACCCCGAACTGGATCTAAAAGGGCCGGTGCTTTTTGCACGCATCAAATCCAACCAGCCAGCTCAATAAATCACCACTGTCATTCTTGGCGGGACCCTAGAGGCGCAAAAATGACCCTGGGAAAGTGAAGTTCCACAACAGAAGCTGTATTTATCTTCCAGATCTGTCTTCCTGGGTCGTAAGCCGTTTGATGTATCTAGGCTTTGATTGTCAGCAGCAATTCAGCGTGATCTCTCTCTCATCTGTCAAGGCGAGCCCAAAAAAACCAGCGCCTGCCGCCTGTACTGCTGCAGCTCCTCAACCCTGGGAGTTTGGAAGTGGGACTGGTGCCTTATGTTGCATGGTTCCTTTCGGAAGTTGAGTCTTCCATCTTCTTTCCTTATATACATCCCTGCATCTTCCAACTGAGACAAATGCCTGCCTTTTCATCTAAAAAAAACAGCCAAAAGGCAGAAATTGGGCATAGTTAGAAGATCGAGGTCCATGTAAAATTTCATATATATATATATAATATATACCTGCGGTAAAGGGAGAAAGCAAATCCCGCACCTCATGTTTGTGACGTTTTATTTCGGGGCTCCACCTTTTCATGGCCTTGACAGTCAGTCAAGCACTACCTTGGCATAAACGGTCGTTGCTTCTCCCTAGCTTTACTAGTTTAGCGGCCTCGGGATAGATCCTTTCAGGAAAATCATTTGTGACATCTGTGACTGTATTGCCGGATCGGTTCGTTCACCTGAAATGTTGTTTGTTTCCACACATTGCAGCGACGTGTCAGAAATACAAACGTCACAACCATCGAAACTTCCTCTTGGACCCCCCCACACTCTCTCTCTCTCTCTCCCTATACACTTATATATATATGTATACACACAGTGTTAGGAGTGTTAGGTTCCAAGTACCTGACACAACAAATAATTCAATTTAAAACCAGCCGCATGGTAATTTACCATACTCGTCATATAATTTCGTATAGACCCCATCTGCATCCAGCTCTGCCTCTGCTCCACCATCCCATCGATGCTGCTCTCGGGATACTTGAACAGCTCTTCCACCACCTGCAATCACCGCCGTCACCGGAAATTTCCGCTGTCAACCGCATGGTTGATGCTTCCGAGCACCGCTTTCAGGGGTGATCAAGCAATTGTTCTTGTCTGTCAGGGTGGAGGGTGAAGGTCTTAGGATCCAGCATGATACACCAACAAGTCTTAGACAGCATCAGGAAATTAAACAACAAGTGAATTATAGATATTATAGTGAATCGATGTGAATTGAACCAATGTCCAATGTCATGATTCTTGGAGGAAGCTTGCCCAATCTGGCTAGTGTGAGAGCACAGCCATTTCTACCTAACGGACCGCCATACAACAAAGAACAATGGCCCCTGCCAAACCTCAAAAGGTTATATAAATAGGGTTTTAAGACCTTGCACAATATTGGCAAAAGTGTCGAAAGGCACCCTCTTCCCACAGGTCCGCTCGTTTTCTGGAACGCGAACGCGAGTTCCGCTCCACTTGCCCACAACGGCGAGCAAACTTTTGGAGTTTCCGGTCGCTCTGGAGCTCCTGCAGCGCGACCGGAGGCTTGCTTCGAATGAAACTGCAGCGACTGAGCAATGGAGCAGGTGCTCGGACTTAAAAGTACAGTCTGTGACCAAAGGTGCTCAGTCACTCAAAGTATTTATATAATTCTATATATAAGATATATGCCAAACATTGCCAAACTACCCAAGGTTATGTTACAAACGTCTCAAGCCCCAAGCGATGCAAAAGCCCGGCCCGGCACCTCCGAAGCCCAGGCGAGCGCCGCCTCGTCCGCCCGCAGCGCTTGGCACACCATGCGCCGCTGCGCGCGCAGCCGCGGCGAGGCAAAGCGGAGTGCGGCGCCGGTGGCGACCGCCACAAAGACGAGGTCTTCGTCATCACCTGATCTGCCGGAATCTGGCCGTTCTTTCCTTTCTGAACTCATCGAGGGAAAGGTAATGATGAGGGTCTGTCCAGAAACTTCCTGGACCTGTCGGGCAACAGCTCTCGAGTGTAGCTGCTCCTGACCCACAATAAACGTTCAATAAAAGGCCACAAAACTCATCAATGTGTTTTCATGTTTTTTCGGTCCAATTCAAATCTGATGTTTGCTTTGCTTTGCCATCCGTGTTCAGTGAGTCTGGAACTGTCCTACAGCCCAAGCGTTGCAGATGGGCCCAAGCTCTACCGGCTGAGCGGCGCAACTCATCGGCAGCATGCTCCAAAGCCAAGCCAGATTCCTGGACTGCTGCCCAAACCACCTCGACAGGATCTCGCAGTTCACAACAAAAGGACTCAAAAGGCCTAAAGCAAAACGGGGTGGCACAAGTGGACACGTTCTTGAGTAGAGACCGAACACTCAAACCACCCTCCATGGAGTCCAAAATATGTCGCAAAGCGGTGGGTCAGAGTCAGAGGATGAAAACAATTGAAACACACACATCTAAGTGAGTAAAGAATGGGCACCTCTTCTTCATCCACCGCCGACTTGAAACTCCTTGTCAAATTTGTGGTATTCACGTCATGTCCATGTCATGTTCATGACTCCATCAGGAGTCCCAATCGCGGATCTGTGCCACAAATGAACAGCACGGGTACTGACATGTCTGACAAAATCACGAGCAATTGCTTCCACAAGCCCTCCAGCCATGGCCACCGGCCACTCTTCCCGTGCGGCGGCCATGGCAGCTCCGTGTGCCTCTCGGTCGGCTTTCAGGGCCGGCGCGGCAAAGGCCAAGGCCGACCCTGTCTGGTGAACTGCTTGGAGCACCACCTGGTAAGCTCAAGGGCAGGCGGGCAAAAACATGCTCGGGGGGGGTTGGGTTCAGGAATTCCACTTAGGAGCCTGAGAATGCGCATCAATATGAAATTTGCATCGTTCGATTCCTCCATTTAAGGCCTCTGCACCAGGTGTCCCAAGGCCTCTGCATCGAACCGACCAGGACCTGGAAAAGTAAGACAAGCACCTAAAGACTAAAATAAGTCTATCTCTCTCCCTCTTTCTCGTTGTGCTGCGAACCTGCCATGAACAAAGTCCCACTACCTGGCCCTTTTGCTGGATCGCACCGTCCGGACCTAGGCGGACCTCCTTCTCTTCCCTCAGCTCTTCAGAGGCAAAGGCCAAGGCCGCCCCGTCCTGCTGCACAGCTGCCAGCACCAGCTCACGGTCCGCCTGGTGGAGGCGGACCCGCACTGGTCGGAACGGTCCACCCGGTTGGAACCCTCGTTGAAGGGAACGGTGGGTGTAGCAATTCGCTTGTGCGTGGGGTACCTGGGTACCTCGAACTCTGCCTGCAGCGCAAAAACCCAGAAAGACAAGCATCAAAATATATCAAAATGTTGGGTAGTCTAGTCTCATTAGTCACTTAGTCATTGGCAATCATGCCCTGTGTTGGTAGTCAACGTGTTTCAAAAACCAGCGACACTGGGCTGCACGCTAGACTGTACTGACAACCTGCCATGTTCTGAACACCCATACCGGTCGTGCGTTGTTCAACCCAAAGGGACTCAATGGTAATTCCATAAGAACAAGCTTACACTGCACAATGCTCCTTCCCGGATCAACTGTAACACGCAAGGCTGGCCAAAGCCCATTTATGGACAGTGGCGTTCCTCTCACCATGAGTTTTCATGACAACCTGTCAGCTTCTACATGAGTTGTGGAGGATATGATCAGGGCTGCTAGCTCCGCTCACTTTGGCATCTCTGTTCGCCCTTTCTCTTTGCAGGACTGTCATGTGAGGCCTCTTTCAGGTTTGGGTATCGTCTGTACTTCTGCACAAATTGGTCACCCCTAAGAATAGAAGCGCTGTTTTTAAGGCGATGTATCTCTAAACAGGTTAGACTTCTCTTTCTTGGGATGATTGGCGGTCCAGAGAGTTTCAGTCTGTCTTCATTTTGTCCTCAAGACAGGCGTTCGTGACCAAGTCCCGCTTTCAAAAGTTGAGTCACCCAAAAGGACTGAACGCTGTCCTCAACAATTTGTTTGTTGTTGTCCTTTAGGACCTTTAGGATCCTTTAGGTTATATACTCAAAAAACATAGAGTTACCCCAAGAAACCGTGCGACAGTGGCCTGAAGAGCCTCAGAAGCACACTGCAAAGCCCAGCCACCAAATTGCGAAACGCGAAGGCCATTGTCCCAAATCCTCACGGATTAAAGGAGGCGTGCTATGGAATCGGAAGCCAAAGAACACGCACCGCACGCCGCACAAGTGCGATCTGATGCAATCAGTATGTTTGAAGAGAGCTCAACTATAAAGAGGCACCTTAAAGGCAGTTGGAAGAATATTTACTGATTGTATTGGTGACCGGGCCCACTTGATACCACGAGTGCTTTAGCTATCCATGTACAGTACTGAATCTTTCCCCCCTGATGGCAGCATCATTTTCTCTGGAAAAGTGCAAGCATGCGATGGCATGCGCTCCAGCCGTTGCGCTCAATGGCCGCCATCACGATCTCACGATCATTCCGCAGCTCCGGCTGGGCGTAGGTGAGCGCATAGCCATTGCACCGCACTGCACGCCTCAGGAGGAAATCCAAGTGGGCTGAAACACAGGCAACGGCTGTTAGTTGAATTGTGTCTTGTGAGCCATCATGGCTGTTCAAGCCAACTCTGCTTGTTTGGGGGCGAAGAACATGGCAGTTTTGCCAATCCCATGGGTTCCGGCGTTGTGAATGGGAGTTCATGAATGCATGGACTGGAAGCAGCGAACCTGGTTGCTGTGGGTTCATCCTCCCAAGATGAACAACTGCACAAGACCAATGACTACCAATGGAATGAGACGTTGTTGTGGAATAAGTATATAATACTATATAACCCTGAAACGCCGCCACGGTGCAGCACAAAGGTCCGATCGCTTCGCAAACGCACATCGGCGAACTGAAAGGCATTGCCGTCTTGCTCAAGAGCTGTTAGGACCACCTGGCAAGCAATACGAGATGTTGTGTTCTCACCAGGTCCCCCCCGACTGGGCTGTCCCCTTGCAAAGTTTCCTACTCACCCACAAACCCACACAATGAAACTTCTGGCTCACAAAAATCCCTCAGCACCTCCTCATCCGCACGCAGCCAGGTGTCCGCAAACTCCAGCGCCAGCCCATGCCGCTGCACCGCGGCCAAGACCAAGGAGCGATCTGCCTTGCAGTGGGACCAGGCTGATGCAGTAGTAGAGAGCGACTGTGTCTCGGACCCTCCGTGTCATATCTGAATCGAAAAATTGGTGTCGGAAGGACGGTGGTTGTAGGATCTTGTAGGTTGGGGTCGCCACAAGAGGTGGGATTCAGTGTTAAATGTACAGGTTTGGGGTGTCGGTCCCCCATGTCCATTGGACAAGTTTGAGTTGATCTACTGCCCACGTAGGTTCATCTGCATGTGGCACTGCAATTTCTGTAATATACCACTCAACATTGTTTGCATGGGGACATACCGTAAGACATTTGCACAGTGGCAAGATGAAATCATGATGTCCCTTAAGGCAACTTGTTCATAAAACACTGCATGCAAAAGGTGCCCCCATCATTCCGCATGGCCATGCCTGGCTCCAAGTTTTGCCACACCACCCACTGCCACACGTTTCTCCACGATAATCGCAATGATTATAGTAATCTTATTCTATATCTATTCATTAGTATTCTACATCTATTTGCTTTAGAATCTATATTTTGCAAATGTACTAGGATCATGGTAGAGCGTCATGAAATCCTACGATTGACTCTTCCTTTCTTGAACGGCACCCTCTATCCGGCAAACATGCTTTTGTCACCCAGAAAAACGGTTCACCTCCACAAAACAAGGGCATAGTGGCATAGTCCACTTCAGGACCTTGGAACGCCCAGCCCCCCGATCCGCCGATCCTGAAGCGTTCCTGCCGCGCAGGCCAACGCAAAGCCACACCTGTCGCCAGGGTCACATCTGTTTGAGGCAAAACTGAGTTCCTGCGTGATTCTTCCTGATACTTGCTTGCTAGACAAAAGATTCACGAGGTGTAGCATCCCTCTTACCCCCTTCAACTGACGTCATGGCACAAATATGGCACATCATAGCATATCGACATCCCAATATTAGGCCGACGGTCGTGGGGGAAGTCCTGTGCGGGGAGTGTTTGCAACCTCTCAACATCTCAAAACATCTCAAATCATTCTCAAAAGGCAATACTATATTATATGTAATGTTTGAAAACCCTCATTTGGGAAAACATACTCTATACGTTGAAAACCCTCATTTCCCAAATCTCCCAACTCCCAAAGCAAGGCCACCGCAGTCCCAGCAGCCTGCGCACCGCCGCCAGCACCACGGCACGGTCCCCTTGTAGGTCCGTCGAGGCCCACTGCAGGGCGTCGTCGTCCGCGCTCACGGCGGCCAGAAGGACCTCTCGGTCCTCCCTGGGACGGCAGAACAGTCGTACACATGTGGCATTCAGCGATGGAAAAGGGTACAAATGCTTGTTATTGCTTGTTGGCAAGCCAACGGAAAAAATGCATGCCACCAAAAATGCGCCGTTAGCATCTTGGCACCGTCTCCGCAGTTTGGGGCAAGTGGTTTCGGAGCTCAATGATCATCAAAGCAAGCTTCCACAAATAATTGATCTAACTCTAAGCAATTGGTAGTCTCTGCGAGGCTTGAGCTCTTGGCAGGTCTGGAGCAAAGCGACTAAAAAAAGTGCCCCAAACACAATCTCAAGCAGGCAGGGTGGCTGGTGGTTGATGAGTTGATCACATCAAACCTGGGTGGCAAGAAGAACCTGTGATGAGGCATCACAGCCATACAATGTGGTGCCCAAACCCTCAACCTCCAACCCTTGGAAAGGAATTTGCAGACATTAATGAAAATTACGTACGGAATAGTCGAATACCACATTATACAACATGTTATGTTCCTTTTAAATTACAATTCTTCCGGCCTGAAGAACACAAACATTTGGGCCGGCATCAAACTCGCACCTCAACCCTCCCAGATTGTCGCAAAACCTGCCTGATTTCATCCGGCGCTTTGGAGAGATCGCCAGAAGAACCTGCCTGCGCTGTGTCTGCATGCTGCGATGTAGGAATGCTGCTGTGAAGGGTTCCTTTTAAACCAAATCTCAAATCTTCGTATTCCAAGGATGACAGATCTGCAGGCTCTTCTCGATTGGGATGACCGAGACTTCGACCTGCGAGGCCAAACCTGCCTCTGCCAACTGCGCTAGCCATTTGGCTTGTTCCTCTGGGCGCCGGAGCAACGTGAGCTCGTCGCTGGAGACCTCCTGAGTCGACCAAAGTGGACCAAGCCAGGTGGCCACCAATCGCGACCTCTCGCGATGGAACTCAGTTTAAGGGAAGCCGCATTTTAGTGGTCCAAATGACACATCTCCCACCCACAAGTGACGGAATTACATGAGTCTCCGCATGCGGGTCGAGGGTTGATATGGGTTGATGATGTGCTCAACTACTACGCTTGAAAAGAGATTCAGGGATCTCTGAACGTTTGTCCCTCTGGCTTCTGGAGCCTCTCCAACCAGAACCTATACACATCTATACACTATATAAACAAACTCACTAAACATGGAAGTGGAACATGGCCCCTTGCGTGACTACGGTGTCTTTACACATAGGGGGTGAACTCCACTTCCATGTGATGTGTTCGTCGGAGTGTACGTTGAAAAGCTTCCTGGATCCCACAAGCAGTCTGGGGAGCTCGGCTACCCCCGCCACGGACCACGAATGCTGGAAGCTACCGATATACACGTTGGGTGTGAAAAACACATCTACAATAAACATCAATACACATCAAACAATCGCACCCACATCATCCAACCTCACCCCACATCCACGACCAAAGGATCACCAGGGTGTCGATTCAACGGCCCCTTAAAGCCTTAAAGGTTATCCAGTTTTCCAGGGTACTTCTTCACCCTGCTTCTCCCTGCCCCCCTCCACTCTCCTCCCATCCTCCAAGGACCTCTGCAGCTCCCGGCCACTCACATCCAGCAGCCTCTGATGCTCCACTGGCAAGCCCGTAAGCTGTGCCACTTGGGCCTTTAAGGCCTTGACTTTTGTGCCACAGGAAGTGAACCAAGAATGACTGGCATAGGAGGTGTGCAACGGAGTAAGTGTTTGTGCAGTAGGGGTAAATGAATTTTATGTCAACTTGAGAGGAGGGAGACACGAAAGGTAGGACAGCGGGAAGAGAAGAGAACGCGAGAGGCAGGAACAAAAATGCAATGTTCGACATGGTGATTTATCCCCTCGGAGGCGACCTTTCGTAAATATATGTTCATATGCACTCTAAATGTTCAAACATATGCTCTCGAAATGTTCAAAAAAATTCTTAGGAAAACAAACTTGCCCCATGGCTCAGATCATCGGTGAGCATTGAATCGGAACATCATAGGATTTGAACTATCCTGAAACCATAAGAGGCTCACGAAGACGCTCCCCAGGAGAGAATTGACGTGCTTCACAAAACAAACTCTAGGTATGTATCCCCTCAGGGAACACCTTTCGTGATTAGAATTTCATATTCACTCTTTCTGAATGTTCAAGAGGGTTTCAACTAATGTTGGCGCCTGATTAGTAAATAGGGGCTCCCCCCCCCCCTCTCAAACAAACAGGAGGTCCTCTATAATAAACTATCACCAAAACAAATCTGGATTCCTGTGAGAATTCCTTCTTGTAATTGATTGTAGTATTCATGTTCCTTTCATAGATTGTATTCAGCTTCCTTTCTCAGGTTCTTTGTAATTGTTCTCAGCAATCCTTTTGCTTTGCAGCCTCAGATCTTCAGCTCAAGAGAAGCCCCAAGCTTTCATTGGCCTCAGGAGCTAAGTAAAGGGAGATTCCATGTGCATTTTT